ACATATACCCTCTCCCACCCCATACACATATACCCCCTCCCACCCCATACACATATACCCCCTCCCACCCCATACCCATATACCCCCTCCCACACCATACCCATATACCCCCCCTCCCACACCATACCCATATACCCCCCTCCCACCCCATACACATATACCCCCTCCCACACTATACACATATACCCTCTCCCACACCATACACATATACCCCTCCCACACCATACAAATATACCCCCTCCCACACCATACACATATACCCCCTCCCACACCATACACATATACCCCCTCCCACCCCATACACATATACCCCCTCCCACACCATACACATATACCCCCTCCCACACCATACACATATACCCTCTCCCACACCATACACATATACCCCCTCCCACACCATACACATATACCCCCTCCCACACCATACACATATACCCCCTCCCACACCATACACATATACCCCCTCCCACCCCATACACATATACCCCCTCCCACACTATACACATATACCCCCTCCCACACCATACACATATACCCCCTCCCACACCATACACATATACTCCCTCCCACACCATACACATATACCCCCTCCCACATCATACACATATACCCCCTCCCACACCATACACATATACCCCCTCCCACACCATACACATATACCCCCTCCCACACCATACACATATACCCCCTCCCACACCATACACATATACCCTCTCCCACACCATACCCATATACCCCCTCCCACACCATACACATATACCCTCTCCCACACCATACACATATACCCCTCCCACACCATACCCATATACCCCCTCCCACACCATACCCATATACCCCCTCCCACACCATACACATATACCCCCTCCCACACCATACACATATACCCCCTCCCACACCATACACATATACCCCCCTCCCACACCATACCCATATACCCTCTCCCACACCATACACATATACCCTCTCCCACACCATACACATATACCCTTCCCACACCATACCCATATACCCCCTCCCACACCATACCCATATACCCCCTCCCACCCCATACACATATATCCCCTCCCACACCATACACATATACCCCCTCCCACACCATACACATATACCCCCTCCCACACCATACACATATACCCCCTCCCACAAGGAACTAACGCGGCGTTCCACCGCTCCTCTCTCTCCTGCAGAGTCAACCACTTGCTCTTCGGGCTCCGACCACTCGGCTTTCACTTGGTGAACGTGGCGCTGCACTCGTGCGTGTGTCTGCTGCTGACGCGGGTCCTGCTGCGTCTGCTGCACCTGCCGCAGGGCACCGTCCTGTCTGCTGGTCTGCTCTTCGCCACCCACCCCGTCCACACCGAGGCGGTGAGTACAGCAGCGCTCGCCTCTGCTCACGGTCGCCAGGCTCATATTCTTAGTTATGATCGTGGTACGTGTTCTTGAGGCAGCTGGCAGTGAGTATATCTGTGGTAAGAACCCTTTGTCTAGTGTGAAGAATATACGCATCTTTCCATGTGTAGATTTGTGATAGGAACTTCTAGTTGAAGCTAGGTGTCTATACACACTTGCGTATGTGTATATGATTATCTGTGCATGTGTATGTATGTCAATAAATCAAATGTACATTAAGACTGATCGATCAGGTTGTGGGTACATAATAGAGGCTCTCCATCAGGTGACAGGTCTGGTGGGGCGAGCAGACGTCCTGGCTGCCATCTGCTTCCTGGCCGCCATCCTCTCCTACCACAGGTGAGTTATGGCTTCCCAGCACGCACTGTAACTTGTGTCTCGTGTGTCATGTTTACTCTCACTCTCTCTCTCTCTCTCTCTCTCTCTCTCTCTCTCTCTCTCTCTCTCTCTCTCTCTCTCTCTCTCTCTCTCTCTCTCTCTCTCTCTCTCTCTCTCTCTCTCTCTCTCTCTCTCTCTCTCTCTCTCTCTCTCTCTCTCTCTCTCTCTCTCTCTCTCTCTCTCTCTCTCTCTCTCTCTCTCTCTCTCTCTCTCTCTCTCTCTCTCTCTCTCTCTCTCTCTCTCTCTCTCTCTCTCTCTCTCTCTCTCTCTCTCTCTCTCTCCTTTTTACCCAATGGCTGAGCCACCTGATATCTGCAAGGCAAGTGGAACTTCATCTCAATTTGTTTTCCAAATACAAGTGTGTTCATTCCTTCTCGTTCCTCACTGGTGTCTTCTGCCGCCCCTTCCCTCTCGGACTGCTTCTCTCTCCTCCCGCCTCCCATTCCCCTTCCTGCTGCGTATATGTTATATAATAGTACACATAAAATGCAAATTTGCATATTCAATAATGCTTTGTCGGTGGAGAAGGACAAAATGGAAGCTTTTGTCCAGATGATGATATAAAAGAGGGATTTTATTCCACATGAAGGCTGTTGAATGGAAATATTAAAAAAGGCAATTTTTCATAGATTATCACAAGGTCTGGGGGTTCGATTCTCGCAGATCCTAGTGATTAGGCACCATTCCTTCAGGTCAACTCGTTGACATATCCTTACCATGTGCTATATAGTCATTCTGGCTAAGCTCTCTCCTGATTACCTCATTATTGTTGAAGTTAAGTATAAGTGGATGACTACCCACTACCCTTCTATCTCTGTCTCCAGACGCCACTCTGGAGATAGAGATACTCTACTCCACCTCTCAAACCACTTGGGCTGGACGGTAGACCGATGGTCTCGCTTCATGCAGGTCGGCGTTCGATCCCTGACCGTCCAAGTGGTTGCACCCACCGAACAAACGACGAAACTACGACCTTGCAACAACGTTCGAACAAGTTTTAACACCTAACAAGTTGTAACAACCAATATGGCAACATGTAACAACGGTCTAATACGTCATAAAAACATTATAACAAGATGTAACAACTTTATTACAAGTTGTAACAAGGGTTGCCACCATTCCTTTCCCCCGTCCCATCCTAAATCCTTATCCAGGCCCCTTCCACGTGCTATATAGTCGTAATGACTTGGCGCTTTTCCCTAATAACCCCGTTCCCTTCTACCCCCGTCCCCAACATTGAATTCCATTTCCCAATTCCACCATTTCCCCCCCCCTCCCTTCCCCCTTCCTTCAACGGCATTCTCGGCGCCTCCCAGCCTCTCCTTGAATTACGTCTCCCAAAGGCATATATTTCCCCACCTATCCTTAAGTTACTTACATGGACACCTCCCATTCTCCCGTGAAGGGAGTGCATGCGCCGCCGCTTCGCTGTTCCCGCCTGTCTTGCCCTTCGGCATCTCATTAGAGACAAAGCCCCAGTTAACACAGTTTTTTCATTCAACAGTGGGGCGCAGCTGCCCCTTGATCATTTTAGAAATATACGCTTTGTGATCGTGGGAAAAGTGTGAGTTTTTATACGAAGACTGTGAGGCACTGGGGCTGACCCTCAGGCACTGGGGCTGACCCAGAGGCACTGGGGCTGACCCACAGGCACTGGGGCTGACCCAGAGGCACTGGGGCTGACCCACAGGCACTGGGGCTGACCCACAGGCACTGGGGGCTGATCCACAGGCACTGGGGCTGACCCACAGGCACTGGGGGCTGATCCACAGGCACTGGGGCTGACCCACATGCACTGGGGGCTAACCCAGAGGCACTGGGGGCTGACCCAGAGGCACTGGGGGCTGACCCAGAGGCACTGGGGGCTGACCCAGAGGCACTGGGGCTGACCCACAGGCACTGGGGGCTGACCCACAGGCACTGGGGGCTGACCCACAGGCACTGGGGGCTGACCCACAGGCACTGGGGGCTGACCCACAGGCACTGGGGGCTGACCCACAGGCACTGGGGGGCTGACCCACAGGCACTGGGGGCTGACCCACAGGCACTGGGGGCATGACACATTCATAATAATGCATTATGATATACATAAATCATGTAAAGCTTTCACTTTAGTACTAAGTGGTCTCACGTCACGTAATGTGGGTCCCACGTCACGTAATGTGGGTCCCACGTCACGTAATGTGGGTCTCACGTCACGTAATGTGGGTCTCACGTCACGTAATGTGGGTCCCACGTCACGTAATGGGGGTCTCACGTCACGTAATGGGGTCCCACGTCACGTAATGTGGGTCCCACGTCACGCTGACCCACAGGCACTGGGGGCTGACCCACAGGCACTGGGGGCTGACCCACAGGCACTGGGGGCTGACCCACAGGCACTGGGGGCTGACCCACAGGCACTGGGGGCTGACCCACAGGCACTGGGGGCTGACCCACAGGCACTGGGGGCTTAATGTGGGTCCCACGTCACGTAATGTGGGTCCCACGTCACGTAATGTGGGTCTCACGTCACGTAATGTGGGTCTCACGTCACGTAATGTGGGTCTCACGTCACGTAATGTGGGTCCCACGTCACGTAATGTGGGTCTCACGTCACGTAATGTGGGTCCCACGTCACGTAATGTGGGTCCCACGTCACGTAATGTGGGTCCCACGTCACGTAATGTGGGTCCCACGTCACGTAATGTGGGTCCCACGTCACGTAATGTGGGTCTCACGTGTCTTCACTCACGTAGAGGAGTGAGTCGAGTCGTTAACTACGAAACTACGTCGTTTGCTGCAACATTCGAACAATTTGTAACACCTTCTAACGAGTTGTAACAAGTATCTAACAAGTTGTAACAACTTTCTAACGCGCCATAAAGACTTCATAACAAGTTTAACTTTGTAACAAGCTGTAACAATGTAACAATAGGAACCGTTAAGTTTTGTGCTTGCAAGGCGGAGAGTCGGGCAGGCGAAGTCAGGTGTTTCAGATGTGCCTGAAAGTCGGGGCGGCGCAGTCAGGTGTTCTAGATGTGCCTAGGAGTCGGGGCAAAGCCAGGTGTTCAGGAGGCTTCCAGCTGTAAGGGCCGGATGGCACTGGAGCCAGAAAACGCTTATCCAATTAAGATACTAAGCAGCTTATCTGATGCGTTGAGGATTAACGACAGATCACAGCCCCACCTCTGCCTCCACGACGACTTCTCTTACTCCTCTCAGACGGACCCCCACCACCTCTGCCACCACCACAACCACCACCACCTCTGCCACCACTACAACCACCACCACCACAACCACCACCACCACATCCACCACCACCACTGCCACCACCGCCATCACAACCACCAACACAACCCCCGCTACCACCTGAGGTCCAAAAACACAAACAAAAGCTAATTACGTTTGCCCGAGAAAAAACTTGTTTTTCTCCTCCTCCTCCTCCTCCTTCCTCCCCCCCCCCTCTCTCTCTCTCTCTCTCTCTCTCTCTCTCTCTCTCTCTCTCTCGTAAAACTGTTTCTAACACTATGCACTCAAAACTATTATTATTATTCGCATTTGCTTTGTGTCGGTTAATGAGTACTTGATACACAAGTTTTTTCTTAACAGTCTCATGAGAAGAAATAGACATACTATGTCCTACTTCACTATCACCTGGGCACAGAAATACATAGTTATAAATATTTATTGAGTCGAGACACTGTCATCTGAGTGACGACCTTCACTGCATCCAATCTTCATCCGGTCTAGAACGTCTCCGTGAAAATCAAAAGCAGTAAGAAGCATCAGCATCGTTACCGGAGCCTCCGAGGTCTCCCCAGATCCAAAATATACTCAGTAATGAGAGAGGGAAGAGGAGGGAATTATCAGGGAGAGCACCAAGCCATTACGACTATGTAGCACCGAGTCAGGATAAGGATTTGGGATGGGACGAGGGGTAGGAATGGTACCCAACCACTTGGACGGTCGGGGGATTGAACGCCAACCTGCATTAACCGTCGCTCTATCGTCGCTAAAGCTGATGGGAATCCAGCATTATGTCCAATTTGGTCAAGTTCCGGTAAACAATGTCCGAATAATGCCTACCGGACATGAACTCTCAACCGTTTGTATTGTGTTACGGTGTTCTTTATTTTGCACCATGCGTCCCTGTTAAGGAGCGGGTTGGTCTCTAACACACCGCGAGCTCCAGCCCGACTGTGCTGAGGTCAACACTTCGTGGGACAAGGCTGCTACGAAATCTCTGCACACAAACTCCTACCGGCTCCTGTATCTCACTTCATCAAATATGTTAATTTCACAAAGATACAAGTATCTCGTTTGCTGAGTTATTCGTGTGTATACCTACCGAAACACATACATACATACATACATACATACATACATACATACATACATACATACATACATACATACATACATACATACATACATACATACATATTCATACATACATACTCATACACACAGCACAGATAACTAGAGGCGAGCATTTACATAGCGAAGAGCGTAATCACGACAACAGATGATCAAAGGTAGTTGAGGGCCAGACCCTAATTGGTTTACCAGCTCCAGTGCTCATGCGCCTCACCCGCTTGCCTATACCACTTGGGCACTACTAATTCATTCTACCACTTGACTCTACCACTTGGAAGCCTCCATCTCGGCCACTACCACACAACAATAAGCCAGTCAGATACGATTTCAAAAATAGAGACAGGGGACGAAGGCAGGATTGGATACTTCCATGGCTAGTCTCTGTCTCATGTCTAGGCTTGTTTGTGTCCCTGAGACTGTTTCTTTCATCTTGTTTTACTATGTTTTCTCTCTCTCCCTCACACTATCCTTCATACTCCCCTCCTCTCCCCCTTTCTTTCCCTCTCCCCCTTTCTTTCCCTCTCCCTTCCTCCCTACTTCTCACTGATGTCCGGCCGCTTATTATATATTCCAGAGATACCGGGTCGCCAGGCTGGTGGAGG